AAGGAATATACAGTCACCATATCAAAAAGAATTGGCTGATATGAAGCCATTTCAGGAAGCAGCATATGGTCAAGAAGCACTCATGATAATAAAAAATGAGGTTCAAGTGGCACTGAAGGCATTGGCCAGAAATACGACCGCAGGAATTGATGCAATATCAACTGACGTGTTTAGGCTATCAGATGCAGCCCTGATGTGTTCACCAATCTGTGCCAAGAATGTGGAAGACAGCTACTGGGCCAACTGACTGGAAGATATCCATATTTGTTCCCATTCCCAAAAGAGGTGATCCAACAGAATGTGGACATAATGGAACAATATCGCTGCTCTGGATGTGCTTACTAAGTTGTGCCAAGAAATCTAGAGGACAGCCACCTGGATAACTGATTGGAGGAGATTGATATTTGTTCCCATTCCAAAGAAAGGTGACCTGACAGAGTGTGGAAATTATCAAACAATATCATTATTATCACATGCAGGCAAGATTCTGCTGAAAATGATCCAGAACAACTGGAGCAACATGTTAACAGAGAACTGCCCAATGTGCAGGCTGGATTTAGAAGAGGCCATGATACTAGTGATATTATAGCTAATGTTAGATGGATCTTGGCAGAAAGCAGGGAATACCAGAGAAATGTCAATCTGTGCTTCATTGACTGTACAAAGGTGTTTGACTGTGTGGATCACAACAAGCTGTGGCTGACTCTGAGAAGAATGGGAATCACAGAACATTTGTTTGTACTTATGTGAAACCTATACTTGAAGCAAGAAGCAGTTGTCAAAACACAGCAAGGAGACACTGCACGGTTCAAAATCAAGAAGGGGGTCCACCAGGGATGTATTCTGTCTCCATACCTTTTCAGTCTGTATGCAGAACAGATCATCCGGGATGCTGGGCTGTACGAGGAGGAATGTGACATCAGGATTGGTGCAAGAGTCATCAACAACCTGCGTTATGCAGATGACACAGCCCTGCTTGTTGAAACTGAGGAGGACCTGAAGTGCTTGCTGCAGAAGGTCAAGGACTGAAGCCTTCGATATGGATTGATGCGCAACATCAAGAAAAAAAAGATTCTCACCAGTGGGCCAACTGGCAGTATCATTATGGATGGTGAAGAGATTGAGATTGTTAACAGTTTTAGTTTGCTTGGCTCAACAGTTAAGGTACCAGCAGCCAGGAAATCAAGAGATGAATTGCATTGGGAAAGTCAGCTGTCAGGGACCTCTCCAGAGTACTGAAGAGCAACAATGTAAGGCTGGAGAGTAAGGTGTGCCTGATCCGGGCTATAGTGTTCGCAATTGTGTGCTATGCGTCAGAGAGCTGGACAGTGACTAGGGAGGATATAAAGAGAATTGATGCCTTTGAGCTGTGGCGCTGTTAGGAGAACAAACAGGTTTGTCCTGGAGAGGGTGAAGCCAGGCTGCTCCTTGGAGGCAAGGATTCTGAAGCTTTGTCTAACATACTTTTGACATGTTGCAAGGAGAGACCAGTCTTTGGAGAGGGACATCATGTTTCGGAGAGTGGAAGGACAGCATGAGAGGAAGACCCTTGATGAGATGGATCGATTCAGTGATGGGGGTAATAGAAGTAGGTATGTCAGAGACAGTGAGATTGGCACAGGATAGAGCAGGGTTTAGGGTTCTTGTACACAGGGTCACTATCAGGTAGTTGTCTGTCAATTGACTGTTAAAGCCATTTTCAAATAGTCTTCAACAGCATTTTTATTACATGTTATATTAAAGATTCTTATTGTTATGTGCCATCAAGTTGCTTGTGACATAGCGACATGAGTCACAAGCAACTTGATGGCACATAACAATAAGAATCATTAATATAACAGGTAATAAAAATGTTGTTGAAGATTATTTGAAAATGGCTTTAACAGTCAATTGACAGACAACTACTTGAAATTCAAACTTTATTTAGAAGAGGCCATAGCATCATTACTGATGTCAGAGGATATTGGCAGACAGCAGGTAATACCGAAAGGATGTTTATTTGTGTTTTTTGACTATGCAAAGGCATTTGACTGTATGGTATGGATCACAACACATTGTAATTAACATCAACATTGAGAAAAATGAGAATCCTAGAACACTTAATTGTGCTCATGGGAAACCTATACCTAGACCAAGAGGTGCAGTCTAAACAGATCAAGGGAACACTGAATGGTTTAAAATCAACAAAGGTGTGCATAATGGCTGTATCCTTTCTCATTACCTATTCAATCTGTATGCTGAACAGATCATTCAAGAATGTGGCATTAGGATCAGATGAAGACTCATCAGCAATCTACATTATGCAGATGACACGATTTTGCTTGCTGAAAGTGAGGAGGGCTTAAAATGCTTGCGGCATAAGATCAAAGACTACAGCCTTCGATATGGATTGCATCTCAATGGCAAGAAAACAAAAATCTTCACTACTCGGCCAACAGGCAACCTTATGATAGATGGAGGAAAGATTGAAATGGTCAAGGATTTAATCTTATTTGGATCCACAAAAAACATTCTTGATACTGTTGCTGTGTACTGACAAGTCAGAACAGATGCATAGCTTCAGCAAGTTTTCAGAGGCAGTAAATTGTATCAGAGTTGTTGTCCATTTCCCCCATGGAGCAGCTGGTGGATTTGAACCATGTACTTTTGCATTGGTAGTGGAATTCCTTACCACTAAGCCTTGGTCCTAGCAGTCAAAAATCAAAAGACGATTCACATTGGGAAAATGTTCTGTCAGTGACTTCTCCAGAGTACTAAAGAGCAATGATGTCAACTTAAAGACTAAGGTATATCTAATCCAAGCTTGCTATGGATCTGAAGGTTGGACAATGGCTAAGGATGACAGAAGAAGAATTGATGCCTTGAGTTATGGTGCTGGAGAAGAGTACTGAATATCCATGGGCAGCCAAGAGAACAAACAAATACATCTTGAAGAAAGTGTAGCCAGAGTGCTCCTTCGAGGCAAGGATGGTGAATATTTGTGTCACATATTTGGGGCATGTTGTTAAGAGGAACCAGTCCTTGGAGAAGGATGTCATGCTTGGAAAGGTGAAAGGTCAGTATAAGAGATGACGACCCTCAACAGGCCGTAATGACACTGTAATTGTAACAATGGGCTCAGGTATGATAGAGATAGTGTGGATGGCACAGGATAGGTTCAGATCAGTTGTTCACAGGCTCCCTGTGAGTTGCAGTTGATTTGGCGGCACTTAATGACAATTGGCAGCTGAACAATGGATGTACTGGTGCCTGAGTCCATATGGAGTTGAGCTGCTAACCCAAAGGTCGTACCTCTCTAAGGTTTTAAAATTCCAGTAGCTCCATGGGAGAAGGATGGACAATCTCCTACTCATGCAATTTTCAGTCTCAGCAACCCAGCGTAGAAAGGGTTTCCAATTCACAGCAAGGAAAGAATAGCTGTCGAATAATGCGGAGTGGAGAAGGGAGAGGACAGGAGAGCAGTTGGGGGCAGCGATGGGGGACAGGGGGTGCTTCCAGCCACTTCCACATCTCCACCACACAGGCTGAGGGGTGCACAGGGAGGTCCGGAAGGGCTAAGGGTGGATACATCACTTGGAGAGGCAGGGGATGTGTGGAGACAGAGCTTCCCACCTCCCAGCAGCTGGCACCCTGTGCATGGGTTCACACACCTGGGATTCCTGGGAAAGCTGTAGGTTCCACTTTAGCTGGTCGAAGGGACATGGTTGGGACAGACTGTGGACCCCACCCCCACCTTGCAGACACTGTGCGCGTCAATCCTCCACCCGACCCTGGCCTTCATCTGGGCTTGCTCTGCGTCCCTGACCCCACAGCACCCCACCCTGGGGTAAGTCAGCGAGGTCGCGCTTTCTGGCTTGTGCTCCAGGGAGTGATGCTGAGGTGCTTTGTGCAGATGCCCAGAGGCGGGGCTGCACGGTTACCCAGGTGTCCAATACATGCAGGATCTCTCACCTCCACCATGTGTCCCTGTCCCCCTCCCTCACTGGTGCTTCCTGGAATCACCATACTAACCTACTCCACCCCAGCCTGGTCCAGGGCTGTCTTTGGAGGAACCATGGTCACACCAGGAGACTCTGGCATGTGTGCTTTGGAGCCCATATGAGAATCAGGAGCGTTTCCTTCCAGTCCCCCTCAAAGAGCCTGCTGTTCTTGATTGGTGCCATAGTCATCTCATAGAGATTCGCGTGCAATGAAGGGACTATCCTGTGCTGTCCTCACACTCCGCTGCACTTCTGTCCACTGCTGTGCCTGTGTTGGTCTGTCAGGATGAGGGTCTTCTCTTCATCTCCTGCCCTCTGAGCCCTGTCCTATCCTGTGCCATCCTCATAATCTCTGACACAACTCTAGTAGCTCATTGCTGCAGTCACCGTGTCATTTTAATTTTAATCTGTGCTCTACTACCTCTAATATTGTAACTATCTGTGTTCCTTGATTGCTCATAGGGTTTTCAGAAGCCTGCTATATCAGAAGTGGATGGTCAATCCTTCTTCCTAGTGTGTTTTAATCTGGGAACTCTAGTAAAACCTGTCCACCATGACCTCTCTGGCATTTGAGACACTGGTGGCACAGCTTTCAGCATCACAGCAACCCACAAGTTATTTCAGTACAGTAAACTGACAGACAAGTACTGTAGTGATTAGAATAATGATAAGCAAAAAATATAGATACCCAAGCTACAAAGTTGTATTACTAATCTCCCACAAATCACTTTTGTGATCAAAGCAAAGAGTGGGACCAGCTGTCAGCATCAAATACATGAAAATCCAATCCTTCCATCTCTATGGTGGAGACAGAGAGACCCAGGTAGAGGAGTAGAGGTGGGGCAGGCCTGACAGGGTGAACCTGGGAGAGGACAGGGAGCCCTCATAGGATATGGGACAGAAGGGACACAGCTCAACTCAGCAGATCTTTTTGTATTTACTGTCAGTCGGTCCAAGCTCTCCTCCTCTGGGAAGACCCTGTTGCATGCCAGCACTGTGGATCCCAGCAGTTCCATGAGCTCACAGAGGTGCCCAGAGCAGAGCCACCAGCAACAGCAGAGCAGAGGGGTCTGTCCTGGACTGACCATGGTCCATGGTCCTCTGCATCCATTGGAAGTACATACTGACGTTGGTGTAGACGCCTGGTCGATTTGGTTGTCCGCAGCCCACGCCCCAGCTCACAATTCCGATCTGGTACCACACGTTGCTATCCTCACAGACCAAGGGGCCGCCAGAGTCACCCTGGAGAGCAGAGTGTGTGAGCTGGGTTGGGAAGGGGAGCACCTGGGGAAAATGCAAGGAGAGGGGAAAGGCCAGATGGCAGGAGAAGGTGCAACTGAACAACCAGCCACAGCGACCGAGCCTCAGTTTCTGCACCTGCAAAGCAGTGATGTATCTTACAAGCATGGGTGCACCAGGGCCAGGTGGCACTCGCTGGGTCAATAAGGGGTTATGGTTTTTCTAACAATAAACTCTGGGACAGGAGTAGGACCAGGAGGCGGGGGATGTGAAGGCCCAGAGGTCTTGCTGGGGGTCAGCCAAGCAGGAATCTTTTACCTTCTTTCTGCTTTGCTTTATCTCCAGAAATGATGTTGAGGAAACCAGTTACTCCTGGGGCCACAGTAAGGACTGTATGAGGGATGATTCTGGTGGGGCTTGTGGGATAGAGGTGCTGCTCAGTCAATGAGGGGAGCAGGGGACCCCCCCCCTTCCAGGACTGCCCTGAGACACTCTTTATGCTTAAGCTGAAAACGGCCCCTGACATCCACTTGGTAGTTAAATAATACACTGACTCACAAAGTTCTGAATATATCATCCCTTAAGTACTGTCTACCTTAAAAAAAATAATCTATGGTCAAAAAAAGCATCATTTCCTAAGGATAAAATCCATGAAGGAGGAAGGAGTAGGATAGAAGAATTAAAGGAAATGAGAATCACAAGGATGATGTGGGAAGGGTGTAGTTACACTGTGGTAATTGTAATGAATATTGTAAAGCAAAATGTTTATCAATAGTTGGATGGAAACCCAAATTGCTATGTAAATTTCCACTCAAGTTACAATAAAAACTTAAAAGAATAATCTGTCTGACCAAATGGTGAATGGCAAGTATAAAACAAAGGTAAGAAGGTAAGGGATGAGGGAAACTGGATAAATGGAAACAGAACAACTGGAATGGAAATAACGAGATTTTTTGAGAATTGTGAAGGATGTAACCAACATCACTCAAAAACTTGTATAGAAATTGTTGCACAGGAATTTAAACTACTGTGTAAATATACTAAAATATTATTTGTAAAAAAGCCCAACTGGTGGTGGTCTCTTAGAAACCATGGATGGCCCTCAGTCACTCTTCCAGCCTGGACCTGAAGTCACCAAACAATACAGGCCTTTAAGGTGAACAAGAACACCTGGGAGGAACAAGCAACCACAGAGCAAAAGGGCAGCACTTACCCAGGGAGAAAGCTTATAAAGCAGAAAGGGAGAGGAATGAATGACCAATGGAAATGAGAATCATAGGGAGGAAGTAGGAAAAGTGCTGTATAATTGAGGATCACAATCAGTGTCCTGAATCAAAATGTGTGTAGGTGGGTCAATGGAAAACCAATCTGTAAACTTTCACTAAAATCACAATATAAATGTAAAAGATGAAGAAAAAAGTCAAAGAAGAAGAAAAGGTGACTGTAGGTGTTTTGTTGAGAAACTCTAGAGCTCAGGAAATTTGGGGTGCTTGGTGGGGACACTCACACTGCAAGCATCTTTGCCGCCTTCCTGGGCACCTGCACAAAGCATGCCTCCTTTGATCAAAGCGCGGAAACTAGGCAGGGAAAACATGAGGTCGCACCTCCTGCTATCGATGATGGCAATCTGTACCTCCTGGAGGTAGTAGGGGTACCCTAGCTCTGTTGGGGATATGAGAGACAGAAAGAGACTGTTAGATAAGCCTGAGGCCCAGGGCAGGCTGCGGGGCCCCTGCAGGACCAGGGCCAGGGCTCTTTAGCACCTCAGGGACGCTCAGCAATGCCACAGGATGAGCCAGGGTGGACAGGCTATTCTAGCTCTGCCCCACAATTTGTTTCCTGATCTGTAAATATTAGGACGGCCAAAATTCCCCGAGTCCACAGGGAGAGACAACGAGCTGGGGGGTGGGGGCGAGTGAGATACAGCTTCAGGACCAGGTCCATGACAGTGTCCTCTAGCTGTCCTCTGGTTTGCACCCACTCACCCTTTGTAGTGCAGCTGCTTCCAGCACTGCAGGCAGCCAAGCTACCATGGACACTCCCTCCCTCCAACTCCGGGTGCCTGGGGACCTCGGGGAAGTCTCCCTCTGGGCCAACGGAACCTGGCTTCTCCTCTATTTACTAGTTCTGAGGCCTTGGACAATTCCCACAGCTCTCCAGATCTCAGGTTCAGCAGGTGTGAAATGAGTATAAAGTCTTCCGCACCCAACTGCATGCTAATGTGAGTTCTGGGAGGAACAGAAGCTTGGCTTTGCTCACTCTCTGGTCAGCATGTGCCTGGCAGGCCATGTGCATGCAGCCACTGTCTGTGGTCCTCAAGGATACTTGAGTGATACAGGAATGACCAGCCCTGGGACAGCAGGCACTGCCAGCAAGTGGAGTCCCGCTCTGGGACACCTGGGGGTTTTGGGGGGTGGTGAGCAGGTGCTTGGTCCCTGAGGGACTAGAGGCTGTCTTGGGATCCATAGGCTTCAGTGGGGAATCCAGGATGGGGGAGAGGGCTGGATCAGGACACAGGGTGGGCTCAGCTTCCCTTGGATATCACTGTGAATTAGGGCAGACCAGAGAGAAGCTGGGGGCAGGGGATACCCAGAATTTAAGCACACTGAATGTAGGAAAACATGGACACCAGGCCCTGCTGGCAGGCCCCGGCAAGTTCCTTTCCGCACACATATAGAGAAGTAGGCTGAGGGCCAGAGCAGGAAGGGGGTCTGGTGCAGGTGGAGGAGAGCAGAGCAGCAGGTGAGGGGGCAGGTGTCTAGGGTTGTTCCACAGCCCCAGTGCCTGGTGTGAGGCTGAGGTTACTGGACACATGGACAGGGACAGTGCCCTCCTCCAGGCCCATTTGTCCCCCAGCCTCACCTTTATGCTCCTTCGTCTTTCCCCAGCCAGTTACCCAGCAGTCAGTGCGGTGCTGGAACTTCAGGGTGGAGTTCACCACACAGATGGGCTGGATGTTCTTTTTGAAGGTGACAGGCGAGGACAGCTTCAGCAGGGCGATGTCATGGGAGGACCCACTGACACCTGACTTTAGCACGATCCTTTCTACCTGGTAGCGGTTGAAATAAGCCTGCAGACTCGTGAGAGATGGCCGGGAAGTCTGCTCGCCAAACTGGACATTCCAGTGCCGTGGATCCCTGGAACTAACCAAGGGGGTAGGCTGTCAGGGGTCTTGGAAGGAGGCAGCTCAGCTTAACTGGAGCATCTCTCTAGGGAAACTTGGGGAGGGGGGCACACTTGCTTGTCCTGAGTTTTAGCCAGTCCTTCTGAGTAAGAACCTGGGGCTGAGGGTGGGCACAGGATGATGGGCACCTGTCCCAGCAGTTCACCTGAATAGACACTTGGTCAGTCTCTAGGACAGTGAGTGTGAGTGAGAGTGAGTCCTCCAATATGAGCACTAACAGGCTGGGATCAATACTGCCTTCCTGAGGCTCCTCACCCACAGTCCAGGGCTGTCCTTCCTCTCAGGTGACTCCTCCTACAGGAGGCCAAGAGCTCCCCCCACCCCATCAGCTGAGGAGCACCCAGTTAGCAAGGTAAAGGCAGGCTTACTTAGGGTGCAAAAATGCGAATTTGTTCTTATTGGAGGAATGAGTTGTTATTGTTGGGTACTGCAGAGTTGGAGCTGACCCGTAACTGACCCTTCAGGGGGTTTACAGAGGCAGGAAATCACAAAGGAGGAGACTGCCCATCTTTCTCAGTGGAGCAGCTGGTGGGTATGAAACGGCAAGCCTTCGGTTTGGCAGCACAGCTCCTTACCACTAAGCCACCAGAACTCCCTGGAGGAAGGGTAAGAGCCTGTCTGACCGATTGGATCACCTGATTCAGGTGGCATGAGTAAGGAAAGGGACGGTGGTACCTATTGTTTAAAACTAAAAGATAATATACAGAGATGTGTGTGGGAATTCCTGGGAGAACATTCTGAAAGTGGATCCGTTTAGGACATCTGTTCCAGGGCATCAATAGAAATTGATTGATTGACCTAATGGATGCAGCCAGACCTGGGATCAGAGGACACCAAGGCCACATCCACATGCAATCTGCGGGGCCTAGGACCTAGAACTTTGGACCCCACCCCCTCTGTCCCCGGCCTCACTGTTTGAAGCAGTGTGAAGCCGTCAGCACCCAGCGATGGTTCAGCAGGCTGGCTCCGCAGGTGTGCCTTCTATGCAGGCGTAGGCTGCCCTGCCAGGGCCATGCCCCGAGCTTCGAGGTCTTGCCGCCCACTATGCGCGTGGAGACATTCCGGATTCCGCAGGGTGCTGCCATGGACAGACCAACGCGCACCTGAGCTCAGAGGACAGACTTGCCAGACACTGTGTCCCCCCACCCTGTGTGCAGAGGGAAGGGACTCCCGGTGGTCGTTAAGGGAGATAGTGACCCAAGACCCTGTGCACATATCAACAGGCCCACCCCTTGCCCCCTGAACACCACCTACCGGAGAGCATGGTCCACTTCCCTGAACCTGTGGTTAGGGGAAGAGGAAAGGTGAGGCGCTCCTCGTCAGTCCACGTGCCCAGAGAGCGAGGTGGGGTAGGGTTGGGGTGGTAGGAGGAGGTGAGGTTGGGGCTGGGGTAGGGTGTCATAGGGTGTGGATAGGGTAGAGTGGGGTGGGGTAGAGGATGGGGGAAGTGCAGTGTGGGCCCTGCACAGCGAAGCGCGCATCCTGCCCCTGATTTGCAATCTCACGTGGCGAATCTCCGTTCTGCAATCTTGTGACAAGTGGAGATATGTTCCCCGGGGTGGTGGGGCCCGGTCCAAGCTCGCTCAGCCCCAGGAGACAGGCCTGGGACAGCAGCAACCACAGCAGTAGCGCGTCCATGGCTCCTCTCCACGGCCGGCGACCTCCCGGGGCGCCCCCTGTGGGCCAGCGGGGTAAGAGCACCTCGCCCTCCCCTCATCTTCCTGGGAGCAAGGGCTGAGGGTCCTAAGGTTTCCCTGCGCCCCTTTCAGCCTTCCACTGGGATGGGACGCCCAATCCCAACCCCGAGTGCTCCCCCAGGAATGGCTCTCCATGACCTCTTCCTCTCTGTTCTGTAGGACCCAGAGTTCCTGACTACCCCATGCTTTGCCTTCCGCTCCAGGACGAAGACCTGCCCACACAGGGAACCCCATCAGACCCTTTAGAAAGTCCTCACTGAGTGACTTGGTTACTTAATGCTGTTGTAACAAACACCACAAGGGGGTGACTTTCACAAACAGAAAAGTAATCCCTTACCGTGTAGAAGGCTACAAGTTAAATTCAAGTTCAGATTCCAGAGAAATCCTCTTCTATCTGTTCTGGAAGGAGGTCCTTGTTTCCTTCAGCCTTTGGCCCAAAACCCCGTGGAGGTTTCGATGTGTCTTGACTTCCTTGTGTCATGAAGCTTCCCAGCACATGAACTTTGAAAGTCCAAAGGATGTGCTAGGCTGTGAGACCTTCCTTCTTGGTGATGCTGAATTCCCCCCCCCCTCCCCCCGCTTACATCTGCTCTCCTTTTATCCCTGCTAATAAAAAAGATGATACCAACCAGATCTCAGAACTTCTCTTTCATCACATCAGGATGGTTCTTGTTGTTAGGTGCCATCGAATCAAGACCCATAACGACCATGTGAACAATAGATCTGAACCCTGTGCTATCCTGTGCCATCCTCACACTTCCTGACACACAAAGAGCCCACTGCAGCAGTCGCTATGTCAATCCACCTGGTTGGGGGTCTTCCTCTCCTTCACTGACCCTTTATCTTTCCGAACATCATGTCCCTTTCCAAGGAATAGACACTCCTAGCAACATGCCTAAAGTTTGTGAGGCAAAATCTCATCATCTTTGCCTCCAAAGAGTACTCTGGCTGCACCCTCTCTAAGACATATTTGTTTGTTCTTTTGGTAGTTCGTCGGGTTTCAGTGCTCTTCTCCAACACCATAGCTCAAAGGTATTAATTCTTCTTCTGTCATCCTTACTCACTGTCCAGCTCTCAGATATATAGCAAGTGATCAGAAAGACTCACCTTAGTCCTCAAACTGACAACATTACTCCTCAATAATCAGGGTTGTGACCTAATTAAGTGTTGAAGCCATAGAATTCCTTACAAAGAGTATTGTGGGGAATGATTACATCATGGTGTAACTGCCCCAGTCCTCCCTCACTGGCATCATAAGGTTTAGAATTTACAACACACAGGATAATGACATTATAGGAAGAAGCATAGCCTACTCAATTTGAATTATAATTTTGGGAGAGAGTGGAAATGCAGCTTAATCCATGACATTGTCCTCCTTTCCTGAAGAAGAAAGCTGGAGGATGACTTGGTTCCTCATTGGAGACGTGGCCAGGCTTGCATTCAGTGATTCCCCAGGAGGACTCACAGACTGAGAAAAACCATTTTTAAATCAGCAAAGGCATGAGGCACAAAGGGTAGAGTCCCGGAGAGGCTTGGTGTGAGCTGCCAGTTGTCTTTTACATTTGGCCTCTGTGGACAGTGTTTCATTCTTTTTGTAGTGATGTGACCACACACAAGGAAGTGCCCACCATGGAAGCCCATCGCAACCCTGATATCCAGGCTTTTTATTGGGGATTTGACTTGTCATGGATAGAATTGCTGTTGTTGATAGATACCATTGATCGACTACAACTCACAGTGATGCTGTAAATAACAGATGACACTTGTCCTATCTGTGCCATACTGAATATTTCTACCTGCTCGATCTCATCGTTGCTGTCAGTCCATCTCATTGAAGGCCTTTCTCTCTTTCTCTCACACTGTGCTTTTCCAAGGATTGGATTATATCCCCCAAAATACATGTCAACTTGGCTAGGCCCTGCATGATTCTCAGTGGTCTAGAAGGTCTGCAATGATATAATTTGGCAGTTATGTCAGATGTAATCATCCCCTATGGCATGGATTGAATTATGTCCCCTCAAAAATGCATGTATGCAGTGATGTAATGTAGAAACTAACCATCTCCCATGGTCTGATGAACCAAATTGTTGCAAGAAGATGAAAGGTGAGGTACAGTACTGCTATCACTTAAGTACAGGAGTTTCTCTAGGGTGTGGGCTGTAACACCTTTCACTCACCAGAGTGAAAAAAAGGAGGGAAGGGAGAGGAGAGTGGTGACTTCATCACCACCAAAGAAGAACAGACAGGAGTGGAGTGCATCCATTTGGACCCAGGCCCCTGTGATAGGGTCCTTGATCTGGTCAAGGCCAAAACACATGGAGATCTAGAGGAAAATCCTGCACCACCCTTATGGCCTCTGATATCCTTAAGCCCAGTGTTATAGTTACTGTGTCATGTCTTCCTTCCTTTCTCCGGCCTTCCACCTACCCCGGCATGATATCTTTTCCCAAAGACTGGTCCCTCTGGACAACAGTATGTGACCAAAGTATTTGAGACAAAGTTTCACCATCCTTGCCTCTCAGGAGCACCCTGGTTGCACTTCCTCCAAAACAGACTCGTTTATTCATTTGGAAGTCCATGGGATATTCAGTATTGTTTTCTAAAACCACAGCTCAACAGCATCAATTCTGTCATTCTTAGTCATTGCCTAACTTTCAGATGCATAAGAAACAATTGGAAATATCAAGACTTGCATCAGGCATACTTCAGTCTTTAACCTGACATCCTTGCTCTGTAGCATTTTGGAGAGTGCTTAATAGAAGATTTTCCTAAATATTGTTGTTGTTGTTGTTATGTGATGTCGAGTCGCTTGTGACTCATAGCGACCCTATGTACAACAACCCTAAACTCTGCTCTGTCCTGTGCCAATCACACTGTCTCCGACACTCCCATCCCGATTATCCCAGTCACTGAATCAATCCACCTCACACAGGGCCTTCCCCTCCTGCGCTGTCCCTCCACCCTCCCAAGCATGATGTC